CACACACACACACACACACACACACACACACACACACACACACACACACACAGAGCTGTGCAGGCTGCTGCTGGGTTCCAGTGAACCAGGGGAACTTGTCTAGCTTCTTTTGAAGACTGCTACTCCCACCCCTGTCTCCTATAGAGCAATCCAGTCCAGGAGTGAGCCTTGCACCGCCTCCCAGACAGCTCTGCACAGTCTACTGCCAAGGAAAAGATGAGATCAGGTCCAACCAAGAACTCAGAGAATAAATGAAGCAAGCAAGCAACCATAATGGAATATTGTCAGAAGCACTCAATGGGCAGCCGATATTCGACAGATCAACCTCTCCCTCTCCCTCCGGTGATCTCCCACCCAGGGCCCTGTGACCCCCCTCAATAATTAGGGTGAGGGATTCATTTCGGGGAGTCCAGCTCCCTCCTTTGCCCAAATAACGCTTTATATGTTTACATTTACAACCTAATTGGTTTCGGTTGAGTGGCCCTGAATAAACACCGAGAATAGCCATCGAGAGTGAGAAGTCATTTGTAGGTCAGGACAGCAACTTAAAGCAGATTTTAGGAATCTTTTAAAATATTGATCACCTTCTAATAATCAGCTCCGACTGTTCCTAAACTGAGGCTGATGAGTCTAGTCCTGGGAGAGAAGCGACTTTATTAATATCCCTTCCACTCCTCCCCAAATAAATAAAGAGATGTATTATGATCATGGCGGCCAGGAAAGAAATGAAATCACTTTCTGAACTGTTAGAATCTGTTGTGTTTTCTGGAGGGGGAGGGAAAAAAAGCAGCCAAGCTTTATTCTAGATGGGGCTGCCCAGAGGCAGTTTCTTGGTGGGAACATTAGGAGCCAGGCTTGGAAAGGCAGCATATATTGGGAATTAAACTCAAGATGTTCTCTTACGCTCTGTGGAATGCAATTTTTTTCCTGGAACAGTTGTCAAAAGAAATGCCTTCCTAATCTGATTTTCTCGTGTTGTTGTTTCTTAAAACAAAACAAAACAGGGGGGATCCTTTGCCAGTTGCCTATAGCCTGAAATTAACCAGATTTACATTTTTTCCCATCATCTCTCCGCAGAAAGGCACTGGACCGGAGCTCGCCGTCTTTTCTTTAGTATCAAGTACAATTTGTCTTTTGCTTGTGAAGATTTGGTAAATCAGAAGGCGGATAGATAGCGCAGATGGTTGGAGGTGTCGGGTCAGATTATGGCATGCCTCAGTACAGTGCTAAGCTCATTCTGACGGAAAACCCTGATATTATTTTCACAGATCTACACAGTTCACTTGAAAAAAAACCCTCGGAGCCATTTACATCATTTATGTGAGGCTCACAGCTAGCGGGATGGAAAGGCTTTCAATACTGCTCATTTTCATAAAAACCGACAGCGCTGGGGGGCGGGGGGGAGGGAAAAAAAGAAGAAGGAGAAAGAAGGAGGAGGAGGAGAAGCATGCACATAAACTCCTGAGCTCCGAAACACGCCCTAGAAACTTTTGAAATAGAAGCCTTTTAGGCTTCACCTTCTACACCAGTGTTTAATTTGCGATTCCACTGAGGATGTGTATAAGGACAGGCCACCGAGAAGACCCAGCTTGTAAACGCTTCTGAAACTCAGAAATCCAGAAAGACATTCCCCTCTCCATCCCTCCCCTCCAGCGTTGCGCAGGAGAATTAAAATGCGTGGCACAATTAAGACAATAGGACTCGGTAAATTAAAAACAACAACAACCCCCCCCCCCCACCAGCACAAATCATCATTCAAAAGAGCATCGGAGGGTGTGAAAATATTGCCGAGCAAGCGTGTGACAAGGTGCTCGAGTTTATAGAGCTGGCAGGTTTCCTGATATTATTTTCAGCTTTCCCCCCACGGTACCTAAAGTGCCGGTAACTCGCCCCAACGATTTCTCTTCCCTGTCTTGCCATTGTACTTTGAGCTATCTCCAGACCCTCAGTTCATCTTAAGGTGAACGAGGCAGGCTGTCCTAAGCAGGTATAAGTCACCTTCGAGCCTCATTTACCGGCTGCTGAGACCTTCTTGCTTCGGTGTGGCCGGGGAGTCTGTCTGGTTCACGGTGCTAACACGGTAGTTATTTAGGCTGGTCAGATTTTTCAAAACAAAACAAAACGTAGGTAGGCTTTTAATGTGCACATGATCTAACAAGTGAGTTACTGGGATGCAGTGTAATGGCCATGAACAGAGTGGAGGCAGTCTAGATAATGAAAGTCAAGACCGTAGGCTAAGGAAATTCGAATTAAGAGATCCGATGCAGCTAGAGAGGACAAGAATCAGTACAATGTTTTGGAAGGCTTCTTCCCCTTGCCCCAGTTTTTCTTTTCCAGAGCCTGAGCTGGGTGAGAAAATGCTAGCAGCCCGAAGGGGACTTTCAGCACCTCCCTGAGAGGAAATAAAAGGCATTGTACAGATATAAACCCAAATCGACCGGCTTAAATATGGCACTAGCTTTCAAGAAAAAGTTCGGGTCTCCAGGGAAACTTCTGGGCATTCAGTGCCCACCCTCCATGAGTAGTGGGTCTTAAATTACGAGAATTAAATGCAAACCTCTGCGTTTAAATATTGTTACAATTTGAGACAAGCCGACACTGTTCCGAACTCGGTTGTGTCTTTGTAAAAAAGGAGTTAAAGACGGCGCACTGAGGGACTTCTTCTCTTTTTTTTGTTTCTTTCTTTTTCCTTTTTCTTTTTCGTTTGTTTGTTGGTGGGGCTTGTGTCACCAATGAAACACTACTTTAGAAGTGCATTAGTTTATTTTCTAAATAGATAGGACTTCCCCGACCCCTTCATCTTTTAGGGAATTTTTTTTTGGGCAACTTTCTGCGAAAGAAAAAATTAAGGACTGAATGGTAAAAGTCTTCATTCTCATGCTGGGAACTTCCACAATATTTGCTCTACACCTGTGGGGGCAAAATGTTGCTCTTTGGAAAGGAAACTCTGCATTATAATAGAAGAACAATTCTGGGGGATGTATGTGTGACCAAGGCATTGTAATACAGCGTGTTCGCCTGCCTTTAGATTTGGCTGCTGGCAGGGTTTCTAAAGCGCGCTTCTTAGTGACAAATAAAGTGTTTTCATATATGCTTTTTATGTGTAGTGTGTCTTGTTCGGCTTTCTAGTCTGATCAAGGACACTAGTAATAAATCCCCTCGATGTAACAGATAATGGATTCGCGTATCTATGAGTAGCTTCATATGAAAAACAAAACCATCTTTAATTGCATGAAGTCTAAACATCATAGCCATCATATGCATGACCAGGAAATCCCATCTCTCTCTGTATGTACTATTTGTGATAGGCGTATATATACACACAGAGAGAGGGAGGGAGACAGAGAGAGATAAATGACTATTGCATTTATTAATAGTTTTTATATTACATGAATATGCTCATTTTTATTACTATTACATAACAAGGATAATGATTTAGAGCCGAGTTCTGAACTCAGATACACAGGGATGGCTGTGGGGAATTATCCTTGTGTAACTGAACTCAGAATTGGGCCCTACATGAAGGATATTATTGCATATTAGAACTGAAGATTATCATCCCTATTATATCTTTCACAGATGAACATAATCCAATCATTGGCCTATGTGAGCCAGACATCCATGAGGAAGTGCCACAAAGCCAAATTATGCTAAAGAGTGCTAGATTTTGATGTTGTATCTTTAAATACCTTCACATGCAGAAACTATTGTATCCCAAGGGCTGTTAATTACAGTCACTAGAGATGTATAGAATTTTAAAAATACATCTGATGAGAAAATATATTTTGCCTTTCAATAGGCTAGATGACAGAAAATGATAGGTATTCTAATATACAAAAAATCTTGGGGGAGGAATACTCCACTTTCCACTTCAGATTACACAGTATGACTGAGGTGGCATAGATACACTACAGACTGAGAGGTGGAAATTCTTCCAGAGCTGCTAAACAATTTTATGTTTACTGTTCTAGAGAAAGGTAATAACATTCCATTGAATATCACAGAAGTTACCATTTTACTGTACCACTTTAGCTGACACATTCTTTTTAGGAGCAAAACTTTAACTATAGTTAAAAA